TTTCTACACCAGATACACTAATGACGTAATCGCTACAGCAGCATTTGGAATTGGTGTTGACTCCTTAAAGAACCCAACAAACGAATTTTATAGGATGGGACAAGACCTCACCTATATGCATGGTCTTCGCGCCTTCAAGTGGCTCGCTTACCTGGCGATGCCCAAACTAATACAGGTCAGTAAATTTCTGAACCCAGAAGATAGCACCACCGTCGAAACCTCAAATCCAACAAAGTTAATCGTACATAAAATCAAACTTTTTACAACTGTAGGGTTCTTACAATCATTTGTAATTCTTAGAATAATGTGATTAATAATGACCGTGATGAATTAATATATTAATGGACCAAACTGGTTATGTTTATTACAGTTTTAAAATAAACAACAAACATAACAAATCAAAAAATTAACAAGAGGTGATTGATATTTGTACCTGAAGATTTCTGTCTTCTGGGTTGTTGCGCTGTGTAGTCTGGTCGATGTTAACCGATGTTTCAGAGGTCATACTGCCTCCGTCATCAGGGCAACAACCCAGAAGACAGAAATCTTCATTCTCACCGCTGTTAAAACCTCAAATCTTACATATTTGTACATTTTGATGCTGTTGTACTGTTATTATAATCAGACCCATATATTCATCATCTGTAGGCAATTATTTCATTTAAAATTTTTACATTTAACCAGTTACTTATATCAGCAATGCCAACATAAGATTTCTGTGTATCATACATTTCACTTACGTTAAGTTCATTAACACTAAATGTGGCAAAACCATTTGATCCTTTTTCAGAAACTGCATGTAAGTATGATGTCCGCAAAATCTACAAAGTTCTTCAGTACACTAGTACTTGATACGATTGCGACAAGAGAACGAGAAGGAATTGTGAGACCAGACATGTTACAGCTGCTTATGCAAGCCAAGAAAGGGACTCTACGTGACGATACCAGTAACTCTCCCGGAAGTAAGAAAATAAGTAAGCAATGGCAATTTTTTTTATCAGATTTATAATTAAATATTTCATGACGTGAGTGAAATGAGATTGTTTTACCAAACTGATATTTCACAAATTAGTTTGATGTTCGCATGCGTGGCAGTTGGTTCATTTCGAGGAATGTACTGTGATGAAAATAATTTTAAAAACCGTTTCAAAACAAAGTCAATGTAAATGAATGACGACACAAACTATAAAAGTATGGCGATAAAAGCAATTAGTCAATGGTTAGGACAACAAATGGCATTAACTCATGTATGTCAGGTGATTACAAAATGTTTTAATACTGAACAACTCGCAAATGGATAAAATTATTAACATTCAAAACTAGATTTTCCTATACTTAAATAAACTATGCATTTTCACATCAAAATAGCAGACTTGTTCATACACACAAATGACATTTAGAATTAATTTATCTTGCTTAATATCCTAATGAAAACTACATAATACCAGTAAAGAAAAGCAATGACCAGATTTTATTATCTGTTCACACGACAAAATGTGTTCCTTTTGTTTATTACTATTATAAAAATAATTTATTTTCAAACTGCAACATTTTGAGAAAAGTAACAAGATTCCTGATGTTTCCTGTCTGAAGTACACTGACATTCCAAAGGCGTTGTTCTGGCCATAGAAAGTAGGTCATCGTTGCACTAATGTTGTCAAAGGCCATTGTTGTCCAAAATGTATTCCAACAATGGCATTAGGTAATTCTTGCACCAATGTTGCAACCAAGATGGTGAAAGCATAAAGGTGACCAGCCCTGGTGGCCAAGGCAGGAGAAAAGTAGCCTGTGGGGCAAAACTCCTAAAGCAACAACTGATGGGGACCAAGTCCCAATGAAGCAAGCATTCTAGGCAATGAAGCCTCACACAGTTATTCGAGACCATAGATAATTTCTGGTACATTCACAAAAATGTCCTGAGCACAATATGACAATTTGTCCTTACCCACAGACATTGAAGACGACGACATCGTAGCTCAAGCATTCCTGTTCTTCTTAGCTGGCTTTGACACAGCCTCCACCCTTCTGTGCTTTGCCTCTCATCAGTTGGCCGTTCATGCACACATGCAGGTTCGACTTCAGGAAGAAATTGATGAAACTCTACAGAAGAATGATGGAAAATTCACATATGAGGCAGTAAACAGCATGAAATACCTGGACATGGTTGTGTCTGGTGAGAGAAAACAACGCTGCTTGACGACAGCGAAATTATGTTATTCCTGCGCACTCACAACTGGATGAGATAATTTTACTGTACCATACCAGTATATCTCGTTTAACTTTTTATGTTGTATTCACAGAAACGCTGAGGCTCTATCCAGTAGTTCCAGCTGTGGACCGAGTCTGTATTAAACCCTACACCCTGAAATCAGATCCTCCTATGGAAATACATCCAGGTCAATCCCTCTTCATCCCAATAATCGGATTACACCGCGATCCCAAATACTACCCTGATCCTGAGCGGTTTGACCCAGAGCGATTCAGTGAGGACAACAAGCACGGTATCAATCCGCTAACTTACCTCCCATTTGGACTGGGCCCAAGAAGCTGTATTGGTAAGTAGGAATGTCATCATTCATTACTGTCCATCTTGCAGCCATCTCATAAAACTCGTGAGATTAGTACACATTTTTTTATAAAAATATCAAATCCTATCCAAGATATCGGTAACATATTTATGCATGAATGGATATATACTAGAATATTTTTAAAAATTATGGAAAATTAAATATGAGATTAGCCTTGAGATTTGATAGCGTCAGACAGATAAATAGGAAGATGGATTATCAGGCACGTAAATGAATACACAAACTATGGGTTGGTAATATGACGACTGCATCTTCACTAACAGAAACTGATAAGGAGATAAAGGCTAGTCCGACAACACGTGAAGGTATGTGAGGATGGGAAGTGGATAAAACTGGCTCAGGATTGTGTCCACTGACAAGCTTTGGTATTATCACTGTATTCCATTGTTACTAGCACAGATTCATCTCAGCGTGTCTTACACAATTATAATTATTTGTTCAAGGGAACCGCTTTGCTCTTATGGAAACAAAACTGGCACTAGTATCCTTGCTGTCTCGGTTCAACGTGGTACTGGTTGCCAAGACACCTGTACCTATCAAAATAGTACAGAAAGGATTCAACATGTCCATTGAAGGAGGCTTTTGGCTGGGTCTGGAGAAGAGAAACCCATGAACTGCATCCTACTGGAATTTTCAGTTTTGCTGGTATTCAGTTGCTACATGAGAGCAACTCAGCTTGGACCGACAGTGCACTGAAGTCAATATTTTGAAGTGATATTTTTTATAAATCTAATATGTATTTACAATTCTGTTAATAACCTTTGGAATATTTCATTATTATTAATACATTTGTATTAGTGTAGTGGATTGTAGGTACTGAGGCTACTGCAGAATTCTAATAATCTATTTTTAGTCATAACCATGCAAAGTACTACCTATCCCAGTACTTGAACATATTTAGCAGTGAAAATTCTTCTGTTAGCTTAATCATATTGGGTTTATTTCTGTGAACTGCCACCGTCACCAACATCTAATATAATTTCATTATCCAATAAATTCCAATATCCTTGGTTAACTGAGGTTTCTGTGATTTATAATTTTACTTGGGTAATGGTTATAGCCATTGCTGTATTTCAGTATTAAGTCCTGCTTACTCATTTATTAATGGTTATAGCCATCAGCTGTATTTCAGTATTAAGTCCTGCTTCTTCATTTAATAATGGTTATAGCCATCAGCTGTATTTCAGTACTAAGTCCTGCTTCTTCATTTATTATGTATCAGGCCCTCTGGCATCTGATTCAGAATTGGGTCTGAAACAATGACTACACATCTGGTAGAATTTTCTGGATTCAAGAATGTCAGATCACAAGATGTCTACCTATTCATGACAACCCAAGACACGGAAACGTGTACATCCATGCACCACATGAGTTTCAATCAGTCCAAACCTATGCACGCCCCAGAAGTAGCAGTCACTCACTGTGTCTGGTCCTTTTTTCTTGGATCACAGCCAGTATTACTGATCTGCTGTATGTTATCATTTTCTTGTCAGTATTAATCCTGTAATCCCCACTGTTATATGTGCTGGATAAATCTGTGGGACATCATATGCATACAGCTTGCTGCAATACCGTACTAACACGGCAAGGTCAACACTGTACTTTGTTAGATAAAAAAACATCAAGAGCTACCTGCAGACATCTCTGCCAGCATGCCAATGCATGGTCAAGGCCACAAATATTGTTACTTGAATCCACACATGGAAATAGCGGATTTCCAATTGTCATTAGCTAAAATCAGATTCTGTCCCAGAGTCATTTATCACACAGCAATGTCCATTAGTAGGTTTCACTGAAATATATTATAAGGAAGATCAAATCGAGATGGATGAGATGGGCGGGGCATTTAGTGCGCAAAGGTGAGGTTTGAAATGCGGTGACCAGACGTAGATGGGAGAGAAAAATTAAAATGTATCAGAGAAGTGGGGTTTCAGGATGTGGACTAAATTCATCTGGCGAACACGGTAATAAAGATCTTAAAATGGACCATGTCGGCTTCTCTCTCGACCGTTGACGTGCGTGTAACTCATATTCCGGATGTACCTGGTTCGAATTCCGGTCGGGGATTGATAATCCTGGGTTTTTCACATTTTATCAAACACGTTTTGCCAAATTCTTGGATACTACGTTGAGGTCAAGACTGTAACCGCTTCCTTCCAAACCGTTCTAATTCATTTATCGCCCTGCAACTGGACCCGTCTGAGCTAGTGACAGCGGCGTTAAAGTAACCAGATGACGCCTAAAACATTCGGTTCAACTATAGTGACAACAGGTGGCAGTTCTGTCGCGTCCTTATGTAACCCATCTGACTGATTAAATAAATGATGCAATTTACGGTGGGGCAGATACATCGAGCGGACATCTGACTGTGAGGAAGCGCAGACAATCCAAACAGTAAGTGTAAGAATTACGTAACATGTAACAAGGTTATCTCTCGGGTGGGATTTCCAAAAATGTTCATTGTTTCACGTGCATGTACCAATCAGTAAACCCTGTGAATTACATTTTATGCACTCGAAGATTCAAACTGACCTCCGTCTGTTCACACGTTTCATTCCCAGAACCACTCGGTGGATTTAGATTAAATTTTGTATGGGATATCTAAGATGTCAGAAAATGTATTTTCGATTTTGAATATTACACGTCACTAGAATTTCCCCTTACACAAAATTCAGTTTTAACTTTTGAAATCACTCACAAAGGACTCGTAATGAATTCCAGGCAGAACTCATAATACCTGCTTTCCTGTTGCAAAGACTTCAGGTGGTTAATGTTGTTGGGGGGAAATGAATTAGCTGTTTACTCTGAGAACAATACAAAATCCATAAATACATTCTACGGGCAACAAGAGAAGTTACTGCTTGTTAAGGAAGGTGAAACACACAGTACTGGGTTTTAATGGGTTAAAATAAGCAAATTTTATTTTAAAGAATTTTTTGACGTATATTTAACAATGGTTAGTGTAAGTTCGAAGTCACTGCACAGCTCTGTATTTGTTTATTTATAGTTTTAACGTCGGTTTTTCAGCAGCTCAGATTATATCACGTCGAATGATTGTGAATCATGACTTGGAAAGGATGTGGAAGGAAGCCAAATTTAAGGTGCTATCCTCGTAGTTGCCTGGAGGGACTGAGGAATTTCAAGATCTGAACCCGGGACCTCCCGAACACGGAGTGATAACTACTCGATCACGACGTTCGGTAGCACTGTTTTTATTTTCAATGTTCGCTATTATATCCTATGTAATAAAAAATATTAATGGTTCAAATGTTCTCTTTAACTTCAAAACCAGACAAAAATTTCGACACGCGTTGAGGACTTCCGGTGTGTAAGACTTGAGGTTCTCACAGCGGTGAATATGACGGTGTATTTGCATGTGAGGTGTGTGTCTTGTAGTGCGCAGTTTTAGAACAATGTAATGAACGTTAATGTTCCATAAAAGGCGAGCCATTTCTTGACAAGTTTGGCGAGTATTATCTTCTATAGGCCGATTCTGCTCCACCATGAAGTTTCATTTATTTGCATTACATCACATTCCATGGCCTTCACGTTCTTCTACGCTGAGTCAGAACGAGTGAGTGCGTGTGACGAACTGCGTTTTGCAGTAAGTTCGGCTACGCCCTAGAACGAAAAACTCTTCAAGAATGAAAACATATTTCGCAATGATATTCTTTCCCGCGAATGTACTTTTGGATATTTCAGCATCAAATGAGCGAGACTAGATAAAATATAAGAATAGTTTCCATACATTTCCCAAATGCATTCTTTCGGACGTTCTTTCAATTGAAAATCCAAATCCATTTTTCAGACCATCTCACAGTGGCCGCGCGGTCCAAGGCTAATTCTGCCACGTAGAGACAAAGATGCCAAAAAAAAATCCTACACGTGTCTGTGGTTTTGCTATCGTGTGTGGACATACGGAGGCCGTCCTAATCAGCGAATCTGAACTAGAAGACATATTTTGTTGACAGTGATAATCAACGTAGGAGAATGTACAGTTTATCTTCTGCTGTTTACAAAACTAATAACAGTACAGATATTACACTGCATGCAAGAATATCTTATTCTCCTTGTATTTCGTTAAATTTATACCACATCCAAAAAATATGAGTTCACGTTCTCACGGCGGCGAGAAAGAACACGCCTTTCGTCCTTCGGCTGTTGGTTACGTGTTACACATCTGTCTTTAGTGGTGATTTCATGCGCTGCCTTAAAAATGTACCGACGATTAATTTTAATACTTCGTCTCTGTTTTTCTCAACAGAAAAAGAATACCAGACACGCACGATGGTTAATCTCGACTGGACGTCGATCCTGTCGAACTGGATCCTACTTCTCCTCGCGGCAGGAGTACTACTGTATTTCTGGGGGACGAATACATACGGTCGTTTCACAAGACGAGATATACCACACCTCAAACCTCTTCCATTCATCGGAAGTATGGGTCCATCAGTATTAAAGAATGAATCCCTCTTTGACTTGATGTTGGGATGGTACGAGAAATTCAAAGGTCGCCCTTACGGTGTGGTGTTCATGTTTCGGCAACCTGTCGTTCTCCTGACAGATCCTGAACTTATCAAAGCCGTCGCTATGAAAGACTTTGACTATTTTACAGACCACCGAACAGTATACATGGAAAGCAAAGAAAAAGTATGGTCAAAGGGACTTATTATGCTTAAGGGTGAGTTCAGATATCTCCACCTACGTCTCTGTCACGTCATCTCTCTCAGTTTTAAGCATAAGACGCATGGGAGCGTAGTAAACGCTGATGCAGGAGGTCTAATTCTGGTCAGAGAATCTATGTTAGTGAGCAGTTATCAATAACACGTACCATATTTCCCATCACCGTAATTCTCAAAATCGGGGGCTTCAGAATCCAAAATGTAATTCCCACTACTGGATAATATCGGTAAATCCGTAGCAAAACGCACTTTTGAAATTAATATTGATGCCCCATAAAACTAAAAAGGGGGGGGACTTTGTTATAAAAGTTACAAATTACAATAAAATTAATGGAATTGTTAAAAACGTTATATGGAAAATACACCAGTCTATTCATATTTTAGTCTTAATAGACATTTACTACTATTGAATTAGTCTGTAACATTTCAAGGGATTATATCCTATTTGTACTCTGCAAATATTTTTGTTTTTGGTTAACTAACTAACTAACTAGATGGCTTACCGAACCCGAAGGTTCATCACCGAATTAACCAAAGCCCTCCACCGGACCCTGTCCTGGGCCAACAAAATCCAGTTTCCTTCAACTCCTATCTCGGATAGATCCCGCCTGAGATTATCCTCCCATCTACGTCTAGGTCTCCCCAGCGGTCTCTTCCCTTCAGGTTTCCCAACCAGTACCCGGTGCACACCTCTTGTCCCATCCATGCGCGCTACATGCCCCGCCCATCTCACTCTTCTCGACTTAATCACCCTCACAATACTGGGGGAGCAGTACAGATTTTTAAGCTCGTCATTGTGCAGTTTTCTCCACGCCCCATCGTCTTCCCTCTTAGGCCCAAATATCCTCCTCAACACCCGATTCTCCAACACCTGCAATCTGTGTTCCTCCCTCTGAGTGAGGGACCATGTTTCGCACCCATACAAAACAACAGGCAGGATTATTGTTTTGTATACTTTAATTTTCAGGTTCTTAGAAATCAGACGGGAAGACAAAATATTTTGGACTGAGAAGTAGCAAGCATTTCCGGAATTTAGTCTCCTCCTAACTTCCTCACAAGTATCATTTTGATTTGTTATTGTTGTTCCCAAATATTTGAACTTTGTAACCCTTTCAAACTTGAATTAATTGACTCTGCAGGTCAGCGCTGGAAGGACATGAGGTCCATACTGAGTCCTGCTTTCACATCCAGTAAGATGAAAATAATGTTTGTGTTGGTGTCAGACTGCTGCCAACAGTTGGTAGACTTCCTAGAGCAGTGCTACCAACAGCCACAGGAAAACAACTGCGCAATTAAGAAAGGTAAATCTAACTCCATGGAGCAGAGTCGTCCTTGAGAAGCTGCAAGTGGCTTGGACCTATGTTCACTGCCACTGGTTACTTTCCTGAGCTCAATAAATCCAATCGATGCCCTCCGACCCTAAGATCCATTTTAATGTTACCCCTCCATCAGTGCAAAGAGAAGCACTAAAACATTTTCCACTTTTCCAGAAGGAGAATTGCTGATTCTGGAAATGAAGGACCTGTTTACAAGATCCACCAACGACGTCATTGCCTCCACAGCATTTGGAATTTGTGTGGACTCGCTGAAACACCCGAAAAATGAATTTTATGTGCTGGGACAAGAAGCCACCAATTTTGGTTCATACAAATGGTTTTTATTCTTGGCAATACCACAGGTCATGAAGGTCAGCACAATGTTTCTGCTAACAAACCATTCTTGTGCGTAGCTTCAAATAATGTTGTATGATATCCAGCTTGTGTGTGAATTATTATGGAAGGAAGCACAAAAAATTAATGTATCTGGAAGTATCACTCTGTCTGATCTTAACCAGATTTTGAATGTGTCGACAGATTTTACTAGAACTTCTTCTTCTTCTTGTATGGCTCTCCAGTCCGTATTCGGTCCATGGCCGCCTCAATTCTCCTCTTCCATTCGGTCCTCTGTTAGGTCCGTCTGTCCGAGGCTTTGATCGAGGTTTCGAAACATCTTCCTTTTTACGGTGCAAGGTTGTTAGCCTTGCGATCAACCCTCCAACCTGGAGGAATATATTAATGTTCGCTGGTTCTTGAGCAGCAAGCAAGCCCAGGAACACATTGTGTATTGTTTGAACTGGCTCAGGGCTGGAGAGTAGGTTCTACTTGGATAAGTTAATTGTTTGATTAAAAAATAATACAGGTTTATATGAATGGATTAAAAAACCTAAAATTTGATAAAGATAAAACATATAAAAACTAAATCTCTGTGTTTAGATACTGAACAGAAGATGACAACATTTTTGTCTGTCAACCGACATAAGAACATATCAGTGATTAACGAATAATGGCTTAAGAAATCTAAGCTAATGCCACCTTAACTGACTGAACGACACACGTTTGTTATGTTTTTTTTTTTTTTCAGTTGCTGGGCATTAACCTAGTACCTGGAAAGATTACAAATTTCTTCAGGACACTGGTAACCGATACGATTGCGACGCGAGAACGAGAAGGCATCGTGAGACCAGACATGTTACATCTGCTTATGCAAGCTAAGAAGGGAACTTTGCATGATGAGAACTCTGAAGAGAATCACAAGGGCAACACCAAGACACGTATGTCATCTCACATCTTGAACCAAGCAAAGTTGCAGTATCTGTCTCTTGTCTTGAACCTTGAACTGCCAAATTGCAATCATTCAGGATTTATTCAAAAGGCAAACTGATATTTTTTCCCACAGAACTGGATGATGAAGACATTATTGCTCAAGCCCTCCTGTTCTTCCTGGGGGGCTTCGACACAACTTCCACGCTTATGTCCTTCGTTTCCCACCAGCTGGCAGTCTACCCTGAGATACAGAGTCGACTTCAAGAGGAGATTGATGAGACTCTACAGAAGCACGATGGAAAATTCACATATGAGGCAGTCCACAGTATGAAGTACCTCGACATGGTTGTGTCAGGTGGGAAAAATCATCACTAACTGTGTACACAAACTACATGTAGTCTTTCGTCTTCTTCCATGAGAAGAAAGGAACAAATATTCAAACATACTTTTTCATTAAAATCTCCATTTATTAGAGATTTCATATTTTATTTTCTCTTCATATTCACAAAACCAAAGAAAACATTCTACATGAGAATGATTCCATTTCATCCAGGTTTCACCATACAAGATGATTTACTTTCAAATTCACAGAAACTCTCAGGCTGTATCCACCAGGCAGCGCCGTGGAACGAGTTTGCACTCGAAACTACACGCTGAAAACTGACCCTCCCCTCGAACTGCATATTGGCGACAACATCTTTATCCCCTTATTAGCAGTTCACCGTGACCCCAAATATTACCCCGATCCCGAGCGCTTCGATCCTGAGCGCTTCAGTGATGAAAACAAGCATAACATAAACGCTTCGACATACATGCCTTTTGGAATAGGCCCAAGAAGCTGTATTGGTGAGTAATTCTCATGATTATTTGGCCCCACTTGTGTCAAGAAACAAATTTGATACTAGAATATGAGGTCAATTTGTTCTCAGTCCACCTTATTTTATACGTTGAGGATACCTGCACCTTGTCGTGGTCATGGGGCTTGAGTACCTCAGTGACCCCAAGAGCTACTGGTGGAACTTTAGCATGCTGAAGGCAGGTGAACTAAGATGATGAAGCTACTTCATTTTCTTAACCCTTTGAAACATAAAATAATCTAATTCAATTTCTCTCTCAAAGGAAACATAACACATCCCCATTGCAAAGATTAATTGGTTAATGCTGCCTAGAGAAACAATTGCTACATATTGTGAGAACAAACAACCTGTATGCACACTATGTGCGCCAAGTATAAAGTTACATTAATGCAGTTGGTACCATTGAGCCATAAAGGGTTAAATAGTGGTGGTTTTGTGTTCCAGGCAACCGCTTCGCTCTCATGGAAGTCAAAACAGTGCTGGTTCACCTGCTGTCGCAGTTCAACCTGAGAGTTGTGGCCAAAACCCCAATGCCTATCAAGTTAACACAGAAGGGATTCAACATTTCTGTCGAAGGTGGTTTCTGGATGGGCCTACAGAAGAGGAACACTTGACCTAAACATTCTTTCATGTTGGTATATGAAACATGTTAATTAACTGACGTCACAGGAACACCAAAATCATTTTGCTATACCTCAGAATATTATTCGTATAGAATATTTTCATATTATATTCTTTAACTTGCATATCTTATTGTAGAAAATACATGCCTATAAAATAGCATTTTATCAGCATTTTAAATATATTCAAGCATGATACACATTTCTAACCTAGATATATGTCAGTAATCACACCTCGATAAACACGCGTCTATAGTATTCTTAGATTATTAATGACAGAACCAATTTGTCTGTTTGAGCTTGTGATAAGTAGGCGTACTTTGTACTCGGAGGTTTTACACCTTCAGGCTATGCCAATAAACACCATTCATCATAGTACTGTGTAAATTCAATCCAGGTAATATCCTTAAAACAATGTCCTATTATTCAGCCTTCCACTACATTACTACCCTAATAGTCAAGGCTAACAACCTTGCACCATAGAAAGGAAGACGTTTTGAAACCTCGATCAAAGCCTTGGACAGACAGACCTAACAGTGGACCGAATGGAAGAGGAGAATTGAGGAGGCCATGGACCGAATATGGACCGGAGAGCCATAGAAGAAGAAGAGGTTCTTAAGAGTCACAACCTACCTGTTAAAATACAGGAGAAATGAGAATATATTAATGTAATGATATAATTTTTAAACGTAGTCCTGACAATGATGCAACTTGCATTCATGGACCACAAGATAGTACCAACGTCAGGTGTATTTAAAGAACGAGTCCTGTTCGGCTAATGTAACTAAGAGAATGGTTATAAATACAATAGGTGAGTCTAGACGTGGGGAGGAACTCGCATTCCAAAACTCCCTTGTATCTTGAAAGACACAAAAAAGAGGGCATTTCCTGCTTCCTGTCAAGAACACACGTGTGGCTCATTAGAAGACAGGGGGGAGTGCCTTAAAGTAAAAGTTGCACTGGAAATTTACAGACATTCATGGTATGTCCCCTGTAATTGCTGTTCGCTCCAACTACATTCACTCCTCCATGAATTATGTCAGCCATCTTAGAGCTATTAAATCATGGAGGTTTGATGGGCATGGCACGTAGAATGGACAGGCATTAATGATAGTTTATTTAACAATGCTCTCTCAGTAAAGTAAATTTGTCCCACTATACGCCATGTAGGCGCTTGGGGGCAATGGAGGTATAGCTCCTCTCTTTCTTGACCTCGGCACTAGATGGGGGTGAGTGGTCGGCATCACGCCCCGGCTGGCTTTACCCCCGGGAAAGGACCTCAGTACCCATTGGATAGGAGGTTGGGTGTTAACTATTTTACATGTGGAAAAATTATAAAATAAAAGTTACAAATTCTTTGTACACCAAGTTGTTTTTTTTTGCCTACCTACTCCTACCCAAACCCTTCCTTCATTAAGGGGGAAAGAGGGAATGACTTCCAAGGTTACAATCCTCTTTGAAACAAGTGACTGATATTCACAAAACTTGATATGAGCTACACTCCATTGGAGGACAGTGCAACTTTGTATTTTATAATTTCTTACATTTGGTAATAACATGACAAGAGTGCGAACTTCTGAGGTGGGAGCTAAACTGGTGCCACTTAATGATGTACTGTGGCAGACATTAAAAATACGCTATTTCTGTTGCGGTAACTTTTTGTAACATGTAACAATAATATGGGGGGGCCTGATAAATTAATTTCTTTAGATGACAGTTAACAGTTGTTACTAATACACCAATGGATTTAAGCATCGGAAATCTGATATAACGCCAGATAATAAACATATCTACAAATTATGTTATAAAAATTGTTCGTAAATTAACAATTACTAATATGGTGACGGTCAGAAACTTTGAGGCTCGGACTTCAAAACTTACAAAGCAGACGAGGTTATTTGAATCATCGATTAACGTACCTGGGGCTTGTGTCCTATTATGCGATAGCTTTTGTTTAAAACTTCAGGTTTTGGTGAGCATATGAGCCTGCTGAAAGCATTCTTTAAAGTCAGTGGTCAGGGTCTCCATCACTTTTCTTGCGTACCTAATCCAATATCTTTAAGACTGCGATATTTTTAGAAACTCATTCACAGGAATGCATGACGCAGTTCAGCCTTCATATGCATCCCAACTAAACGGAAACAGAGTTAACTCTTTTAAGCACAGTGGAAACATTTAGATGCCACCTGCCTTAATATTCAGTGCCGGATTCTCTACATTTTACCTCCAGAGTGTACTTGTGGCTACACCTTCCTGCGTGTGTTTGCATTATTCGTTTAAGGAAAAATCTTTTCGAGCTGTGAGTACTGGCAGATTTAAAAGCAGACTCCACGGTATGACTCAGGGAACTGAGAAAGGTCATGACAGCCTTTGCCGTTTCTCCGGCAAAGACTTGAACCGGTGATCTTCCAAATACGTGCAAGTGGAAACCCTAAACATCGACAGGACTGTTAAATCTAAGACAAATATATCCTACTACTACGGATGCTGGAACCTGGCGTGTCCTTATAAGGGATGAGAGAGGAAACAGATAAAAAATGAGCTTGACACTCGAGTGGGGGGCAGAACGGCAGACGAGCGGATAGCACTCCTGCTTTGTATGTGCGTTCTCCATCAGTCTCTCCAGACATACGAGGTGCGATCGGAAAGTTTCTAGACTGCGCGTATAAAAACCCGTACACTTATCTCAGGTATTAAATTCATCCATCACCCTCGAAGTAGTTCCCCTGGGAGTGAACACAACGATCCCAGCGCCGCTGCCAAGCCTGGAAGCATCCCTGGAAAGCTTTCTTTGTCAGCCTGTCAAGCACCATCTGCGACCTCGTATACCTTAAAGACTGGACTGGATTTCTCAGACTTGATAAGCTGAGCGACTGTTAGCTTTCCAAAAACCTTCGCTCCATGGAGTTAGACAAATAAATAACTATCCTTTCCTTTCGTTTGTGGTTCTTAAAATCAAATTAAACAGATTTAATTTAAGAAGGCATTATCATGAAGACTTGTATCGTAAATATATTATTTTAACTTTTCACAGCGTATTTACAATAATTAGAACATCTTTCCACCTGGGAAAGGTCTGATAAGTTCGAGCACATTCAAAAATATTTAATTGTTGCTACTGATTTACAATGTGTTCAATTTTAGTGCTACATTGGATCCACTATCGAAGTTTAAGATGCTGTTAAAACACTTCTTATTCTCGACTAGGTAACTAACGAAACTTAAATTTTAGTCAAATTAAAAGTTTCTGCAATATCTATTTAAAATTAGACGTAACAGTTAAAAATAGAAATTCGGCATTAACAATATAAGAGATTAATCAGCTGTGTTCGGAAATTAGGAAGGATCATAAAATTTACAGTTTCTGAAATGAATTATATAAAAAAATTCTCCAATTTATTATTTTATTAGTTTTATAACGAACTTCGTTTCTGTTATTGTCGTCAACAAACTCTTTCTACTTCCAGACATTAATGACAGGACAATTAATGAACCACGAAGGGGCCGCGGACTAATTTACGGCACATGTGCCTGATGGAATATCGAAAACAACGAAACGTCGGCCAGGATTGCCTGTCTCCAAGCCGATACTTGAATTCGGGGCCTTCTGAATACAAAGGATTGCCAACCACTCGGCTGAGACATAAAGTGCAATCATATTCGTCAAAATGTTTCATCCGCGTGATCTCATGTTTGTTTCCGATCACAAAAATAAAACTGACCGACGTTTCAGTGATACTCAGAGGCAATTGCCTTAATGATGAAGGCAGTAACGAATCATGTAAATTCGATAAATTTCTACGAGACTACACGCCCCAAAAACCGAGAAATTAGTCATCTTAATTTTTTAAATACATAAACTGTTAAGGAGGATGCGAATACTGAGATCCAGCTGAATAAATATATGAACTGTCCAATGTATTCCACTAAGCCCTGTCAGTACCTCCGCGCAGACCGAGAATGTGGGCGGAAGATGACATAACAGAAACAAACAAACACTCCACACACACCCTTCAACTGTCTTCATATACACCCGCATGCACGACGTATCGCGCTAAGAAATGATGTACTCGGTTATTTTTGTGGGACCAACAAAGTGTATTTATATCTCGCCCCCGCAGTTAAGTGGAGGTAATCTCCAATCCCTCCGGAAGGGACAGTGTGGTTTGATCAGGAACTGGTAACTAAGAGTCTTCTGGGTTTTAGCGCCGCGTAGTCTGGTAGAAGCTGCCTCCATCATCAGGGCGATGAGCCGCCCTGATGATGGAGACAGCAAGGAGCTCCGAAACGTCCGTAAACTTCTACCAGACTACACGGCGCTACGACCCAGAAGACAGCCATCTTCGTATTCACCGCCATGAGAACCTCATATCCTATTTAGGAAACGGTAATTTCACTCCATGAAATTCAAGTTTCCAAATTCCTTCTTTACAAAACTAAATACCTCATCGGCCTTGAGGTAAATTTATTGCAGATACAAATCCACTACCAAGAAAGGTAGTTAACAGTGGAGACATTACGCAGGGGAATCATGATTTCTATCTAGGCAAAGCTATTAAACGTTTACAGGCGCTCCGTTGTCCAGGGTGATACAATATACTGCTTAAAAATTTATTCAAGAATACAGATATTAACTAATCTCATGGAACCGAGTTCTTTTTTTGAAGCAAACAGTCGATCAACTCTTTAATAAATTCTGTATTTTTTACTGCCACTGGACTCTGCTCTGAGCAATATGTATCCGGTAAACACTTTAAAACACTATTTATTTAAGAGTCGTTTCAATATTATCCTCCCATCTACACCTACGTCTTCAAGTGGTCTAATCTCTTATGGTTTTCTCTCTGGAGTACACCAGAGATTCCAAAGATGTTCAAGTCACAATGTTTTCCAACATCGACCTCTCTTCCCAGACAGACATGGACTGGCCAATAATAATTATTCTTTGAAATAACACCTATTATCATTACGGTGTACTCTTTAGAGAACACTGACATTCCAAAAGTGCTCTTTAAGCGATATCACGTACTGTTGCCGATTGTGGTATATATAGTTACCACTAAACTTTTAAATGATTAAAAGTGGCGAAAAATATGAAAACAATGATGAAGAAGAATGTGATACTGATATCAATGAAGCTGAAAGTGATATGATGATACGTGGTTTTGAAGAGAAAAAGTTCGTCATAACATGGGGTCCTATAGGTTAGAACAGTTTAGAATCAGTTAGCAGATGGCGGTACCTTACAACCATGACGTAATAGTTAAAATTGGGGTGTGAGCAACGCGCTGGAGAAGTGTCAGATCGTGGGCAGAGGGCGAGCAGTTTGACAGTCTACAGCGTCACAGGGAGACAAAAGGTAGGACCGTGGATTATTTAATGATATTGTTACAAAAACTGCAGAGGATGTACGTTCATGCGAATTTCGAATCGTCAGGAGTTCTAAATGAAACGGTTTTGGGCTTTTTCGAAAGCATTTATTGTGTTTTGCCTGGACGACAAAATCCACACAAACTTCGCCTACCAGAACTAGATACCTGAAGAAATATATAAGTTGTTTCAACACTGAACTAAATTCAATGCGATTAATGGGGATAAGTCTAATTTATTTTTGTTGCCTCTGCTGTCATCATGATTATCATTATTTAAAAATTTTACTCGCGAAAATAGATTTAATTTTTTATCAACGGCTGTATCACGTCGAATAATATTTTATGATAAATGCACAAGGCCTATATGTTAGCTAAATATTTAAGATTATTTTATAATTTTTTATCAACTCTTAAAGAAACGTAGGATTACTGAGAGATACAAATCGGTAAGGATGTGAAATAAATGTTATCCTTCTGTTCGACTCTTCATGTCACCACAAATAGCACCAATCCGGTACTGACATTCTCGAATGATTCGGACTACTCAGAAATGAATTTTATTTCCGGCAGCCATGATGACTATGGACTGGACGTGGTCGTCGATCTCATTCTGGGTCATCCTACAGACCGGGATAGTACTGGTAGTGTATCTGTGGGGAACATGGAACCACAACCATTTCAAGAAAAGGAACGTGCCTTATATCACACCTGTTCCATTCTTCGGTAACATGAGACCAGCCATATACAACAAGAACAAGGAACATTTCCCAGACTACATACTGCGAGCCTACAGGGAGCTGAAAGGTCATCCGTACGGCGGTACGTTCAACTTTATGCAACCTGTGATCATCCTTCGGGACCCCAAACTCATCAAAACCATCACAGTGAAAGACTTCGATCACTTCATCGACCACAGGTCCTTTTTCAACGAAGCTACCGAGCCACTCTGGGGGAAATCACTCTTCAATTTGTCAGGTAAGTGAACATCACGTGAATAAAAAATTTCAAAACAAACGAGGATTGACAAGCGTATTCCTGAAACACGCAGCGCCGTGTAGTGTGGTAGATACAGACGTTTCAGAGAAGCCCACTGCCTCCATCATCAGATCATTAGCGGTAGTTAGCACCTTTAAAACGTCGGTCAGTATATACCATACTACACGATGTAACAGCCCAGAAGACAAGCATCTTCAAACTCGTCACAGTAAGACCTGAAATTTCACACAATATTGTAATGCTTTTTACGTCTATGAGAGTCGACATTACAATTTTAAATCTTCAAACATCGCGGTCGAGTAGTTAGAACTCCTACTTTGTATTAGAGAGGGCCGGGGATCTAACCTTGTTATGCTTCCGAATTACAACGGATAATTCATCGTGACACAGAACCAAGGCAATTATTTTCTTCAGGTCAGCGTTGGAGGGACATGAGGTCCATACTGAGTCCTGCCTTCACATCCAGCAAGATGAAAACGATGTCCCTGTTGGTATCAGACTGCTGCCAACAGTTGGTAGACTTCCTAGAGCAGTGCTACGAACAGCCACCTGAACAGGAATGTCATATTCAGAAAGGTACCACGAGTTTAATTTTGATCCCGTACCGCGT